ACCCATAATAAGGAATATAACATAATTTCCATAGTTTAGGGTCCTTAAGGTAATGCAGGATTTATATCATCAACAGTAGGTTGTCGTCGCAGTGTTAGTTGTCCTTGTCGGGACAGTGGTATCAGTAGTCTTTATCGTCATGGTGTTCGTTGTGGTTTTGGCGCTGTTGCTGCTGCTGCTGTTGCTGTTTTTGGTAGTGGTGACGGCAGCACAAGCAGCAATCACTAGCAGTACCAGTAACAGCAGTAGGTCTTCGTAAGTGACCAGGATCGGAGTAGCAGCAGCTGGACGGCATGCAGAGTTCGCAACAATCATGATAATTATCATGCCAGTAGATAGACAGCGGAGAGTTTTTCGGGAAACAGCACTTTAATGGGGATAAAAAGAAGCATGAGCCAGGAACTTGTCAGGCTTTCCAAGCCGGCTTACCAAAAGGAACATGCCCATCGCGTACTTTGTTTTGTGCAGTATCTCCTGCAAGAACCGCATTTCCACCAGAGACTTAGCTTCCCTTGAACTACAATCGCAGGTTTCACTCTTCGATGGTACTTGTGCGGACCTTCAGCCGCTGCCTCTGCAGTCTTCATGCGCTATATCACAGAACTTCAGAAGCTAAGTCATTACTCAGTATGCTAGTCGTTGTTGCCGTTGGCATGCCGCGGCTGTTGTTGCCGTTGGCATGCCGCGGCTGTGATGCGGAAGGACAAAACTCGAGTTTTTAGCACATGGCATGCTGCATAGAATTGCTTTTGCACGACAGTACGTGCGGTGCAAAGGGCACTTTGGGCATGGTGCAATTGGACATTTGGGAGCTTGTCCAGCGGTTTGTCGGTCTCTTTGCCAGCCGTTTGGCACTCTCACACCAAGCAACAACGATCTGGCTCTTATGTCGGTACTCGCGGTGTTTTGGCCAGTTTCACCATGCATGTACTCAGCTCGGATGCTTTCGCTGGTTTGATGGCTTGGAAACTGCACGCTGTTTAGCATGCGTCCATTTCATCGGTATTCCCAGCTGTTTGCTCTTTTCCTGGTTGTCTTTGCTGTGCCGTGTCGGATGAACGACTTGTTGCACTCCAGAAGCCAAGCAGCACACACCCGTAAACCATTGGAACCTTGAAAGGTATGTGCAGCCCCTGGCACATTCCTACCCTCTAGACTTCTAGACCTTTGCCGAGGTGGAGGGGTTCAGCCTTTGGTGGTGGATTGCCGCTGGACGGGTTCAAGGCCAGCGCTGCAGGATTGCGGTCCAGATGGGCTTTGAGCATCTTTGGCCGTGGAACGCTGCACGGCGTCGTCTCCACACTTGCAAAGCTACGATTAAGTCCTTTGCCAGATTGGTGTGGTTGTCAGCTCCGACACGGCGGGTGCTGGGCCCTCCCCCGTGAAGTTGCAGAGTTTATGTTTTGTGTGTCAAGGTGGGCGTAGGCTGCAGACCATCGACAGGATTCTGTTCAGTGGCCAAACCGAGTCTCAGTGCTTCGGAATTCTGTGGCGACGGCTCAGCAGCGGGCACGGGAACATACACGGAGGGAAGAGAGACCGTAGCACGACAACCCGCCCCATTACTGGCTTTGGCTCAGTATTTGAGCACGTCACATGCGCTGAAGAGCCTAATCTACCCGGAGGAAGTTGAAAACCAGGCTCACCAGGAACCTACGGACCTACGGCAAGTGCCGCATCTCGATCGAGCCTCAGATGCAAGCTCGGCAGTGCCCTGAAACGGGGCCTTCGCCCGCGCTTGGAGGTCGCCGACCCAGCTTGAGTCTGGAACGTGGTTCACATCACATTGCTGGTTTGTTCGCATGTACACCGCGGCCGTTACTCCCAAGACGCTTGTGGTAGAGTTGCAATGCTACCTCCGCAGCCCAAGTCACCCCTACCCCCCCACATTGCGAGCCTCGCCGAAGTGAGCTGAGAGAGTCAGCGCTGAAGCTCCACGCTCTGTTGACTAACCGGCCGTTCCCGTGCCATGTCCCAGCAGAACCTGAAGCTCCGAGCAACGCTCCGTGATGACGGAAAGAGCTGGGAGCGGATGGGCACGACCCTCCTCAATTCTACGGATTCTTGGCATCTCTTGATATAGTATGAACACTTACTGTAACCATTTTACATCCGTCTCTTCCTGTTCGGATGAAGTTTGGATTCGTAGGGTCGCTCGAAATGTCGAAGAGCTGTTCAGAGCTAGGGCGCATACCCACGCGCATGATCTGGCAGGTCTGGGAGTTTGGCACGTCTGTGGGGATGCGCGACTTGGCTGCTCTGCATGGCTACTTGTTTTCTCACGCCGGGAAGACGTGGCGGAGCCACCAGCACACTGCTCTGACTCTGAGCTCAGCCGGTGTCCACGATGGTGACTTGGTGGAGTTTGCGGGTGACTTTGAGCCGGTGGCAGGCGACGAGCCTCAGCCACTCGACTCCGTTAGCGATGGCGAAGCCGGCGCAAGCCGCGGCAGCACTGCTAACGGCAGCAGAGATGCTGTGAGAACACCCGAGGGCACGAAGAAAGACGCTAGTGCCAAGGATTCCCCCAAGGAGGGCACGCGGCCCGGCTCGAGGGGTGTGGGAACGCCCGGGAGCACGAAGAAAGACGCCAGCGTCAAGGATTCCCCGAAGGAGAGTGCGAGGGCTGTAAGAACACCAGAGGGCTCGAGGGGTGTGAGGACGCCCGACGGCACGAAAAAAGACACAAGTGCAACGAGCGAGAGCACACCAGCTGCTGACACTGCCGTTCCTTCAGCCCCCGCTGCACCCGCCGCAGCGCCAAAAGCCCAGATTCGGGTCACGCTGATCGATCACAAGAAGCGACAGCGCGAATGCGTCGGCAGGGCTTCACTGGAAACCTGCGTCTGGGACTTCGGTGTATCTGTGGGTATGGACCATTTGGCGACATTGCATGGATACCTCTTTACGTATGCCGGACAGACGTGGCTCAGCAATGGGCCCAATCAGCACCAGTCTCTGACTTTGGCCGCAGCAGGCGTCCAGGATGGTGAGACGGTGACCTTTGCCGGTGACTTCGAGTCCGTCGCTGCCTGCCTGATGTGAAATGCCACCCTCATTATGATGATGCTAACTAACGTGCTGTGCAGAGTAATTGTGAGATCAATTACTCTGCTTCTAACATCCGGTACATCCCGAGGTCTATTTGAATGTGACCCTGGCAGACAAAGTGAGCCGCCAGAGATTTGGAAAAGCTTCCGCCCTGACTTCCGTGTGGCTCTTCGGGGAGCTCTTGGGCCTGCGGACGCTGGAGGCCCAGATCGTTCCAGGATGTGGCTACACCTTCCGGAAAGACGGAGGTCCCACCTGGAGGAGCAAGCAGTACCCCAACCTCACGCTTGCTGCGACCGGCGTTAAGAGCGGAGACTGGGTTGAGTTTGCGGTCGAGGTCCCACCGGAACCCAAAGAAGAGTGAGGACACTTAGGAAACGTTAGTAGGATCCGTAGGATCCTGGAGCTCCCTTTGCATGAAGAAGCCTTGGCCTTCTGCCCAAGCCTTCGAGTAATTTAGATGTCTCTCCAAGCTGAGCTTGGGAGTCAGCTGTGGCTCTGTGCAAAGTACAGAGCTGAGCACCCCGACATGCTCAAAGCGCCCCGCAAGCAGAATGCTTTCGGAAAGAGAGCCACACTATCAGAAGGCGAGAGGATGCAGAAGGGATTGCTCTGTCGCTTACCACTGCACATGCTCAAACCTTGGAGTGTAGAAAGAAAGGGAGAGGCCGAGGGCCGAGGCCCAGGCCGAGGCCCTACGCCATGGCCGTGCCAGGCCTTGTAAGTTTAACTGTAAGGCTCGTGGACAGGAGCCGAACTGAGGAGAAAGCTTGGCAGGGCATCGAGTACCAGTCCGTTTGGCACCTCGGCCGGGATGTTGGCATGCTGGAGCTGTCCAGTCTCAATGGCCGCGGCTACCTCTTCACGCACGCCGGGCGGAGGTGGAGCAATCTGGTATATCCCAACCTGAGGCTGAGTGATGTTGGAGTCAAGGAGGGGAGTATTGTCGAATTTTCCGGTGACTTCGACAAGTCTGCAGGCACACCGCTCATTCTCCAAGTCCATTTGATGGACAGAAGCAAATCAACGGAGGAGTTTGGAGCAGTGCTCCCAGAGGCCGGCGTGTGGGATCTCGGCATATCTTTGGGAATGGAGAAGCTGACCACACTCACCGGAGGCTACATTTTCTCCTTCCAAGGAAGACAGTGGAAGAGCCTGGAGCATCCTTCGCTCACCTTTGCAGAAGTGCTCGGAGTCGGTTTCACCTCAGAGCAGGAGCTGCTGGTGGCGTTCGAGGGCGACTTCAGTCGAGATCTCCCGAGCTCCGATGCCGAGGCACACTCACAGATCAGCTCATAGATCATCGATCCATCTGAAGTCCTCTTGAATTTTCTTGGCCACGAGTGCTGAGTGGAGATAGTAGCAAAGAATCATCTAGTGACTCCTTGGCGAGAAGTTGGTGATCGGCTTTGTGAGAAGCTTCGCGAGCGGGTTGTGTCATCCTAGGCGGAATCAGTAGGATGAATTCTGAACTATGAGTGGTTTCCTAGTGAGCTGTCTTGCGATTATTTCCTGAGCGGCTTTGAAGTTTTTAGTGAGGCGGCGCTCTTCTTGGAACAGGTGGCGCTGTCCTACCCTGCTCTGTAAAGTCTCCCACGTTTTGCAAATCCCAGCAGCTCACGAAATTTTCACAGAAGCCTCTCGCTCTGTTTCTTGCCTCTCTCGTTCGCAAATTTCTGACGAACCTCTCTCTACGACTTCACGAAACACAGTCTTAAAAATGGCAGCATTGCTGCTTCTTGCCAAAAGGTGACCCTTTCCGTCGTGCTGATGGACAAGTCCAAGAGCAAGACAGTCACTGGAAGGGTAAGGAGGGGCGACTCAGTCTGGAAGTTTGGACTACTCGTGGGCATGGCATCGTTGACGACCTCCAGCCGATCTCAGGGTGGATACGTCTTCCGACGGCAGGGTGGTGAATACTACAGGGAGCGCCTGTACCCGGATCTAACCATTGCAGGTGCCGGCGTGAGGGATGGTGACACGGTCGAGTTTTCTGGCGACTTTGAGGTCTTCGAGCCTACGGCCGATGCCAGTGCCGATCCTGGGACAGCAGCAACTCTGCTCACACTTATGCTGCCTTTCCGTTTATCAGTTTCCTCCCTTTTTTTTAGCATGATGCATCTGCCTACCGTTTGCAGGTGACACTTACGGTCGTGCTGATGGACAAATCCAAAAGCCGGACAGTCACGGGAAGAGCCCGGATGGGCGACTCAGTCTGGCAGTTTGGAGAGGACGTGGGCATGACAACGTTGAGTACGATGTCGAAGTACATCTTCCGACGGCAGGGTGGTGAATCCTACAAAGAGCGCATGTACCCCAACCTAACCTTGGCAGATGTCGGGGTCAGGGAGGGTGACACGGTCGAGTTTGCTGGTGATTTCGACCCTGTCGCGCCTGCACCCGGTGCCCGCACTGATCCTGGGACCGCAGCACCTCTGCTGAGATATAAGAATGAAATTTGAGTTGTGCCACCTGCCCTGCTTGTCATTGTTGGCGATTTCACTATCGGCTTTTTGCATGATGTTACCATGGTCTGTTTTGTCATGCAGGCTACATGCGCCTGTTGCAGGTGACACTTACGGTCGTGCTGATGGACAGGTCCAAAAGCAAGACAGTCACGGGGAGAGCCCGGATGGGCGACTCAGTCTGGCAGTTTGGACAGGACGTGGGCATGACAACGTTGACAACATCCAGCCGATCCCAAGGTGGATACGTCTTCCGGCGGAAGGGTGGTGAATCCTACAGGGAGCGTCTGTACCCGCATCTGACCTTGGGAGATGTCGGAGTGAGAGAGGGTGACACTGTCCAGTTTTCTGGTGACTTTGATGTCTTCGAGCCGCAAGCGTGATGAGACCGAGCATTTCAGACGTGCTGCTCATGAAGACATTGAGTGATATCGCGGCTCCTGCCCAGCAGATTGTTCAGGATTGGCGAAATGCCATGTTCTGGGTTTCACTAATAATGTATCGTGTTCCTGCTCGTGACAGCGGCAGAAGAGAAGCATTGGTGGCCAATTGGTGCGTGGGCTAGCAAGTCGTGTGTTCTGAAGCCCCGTGCACCTTGCAAAGGCGGATGCCGGTGAAGGTGACCATCCGGGCCAGAGACCCCGAGAGCTCTTTGGCCGCTCCTAGCTTTGGACTCTCTTCCCCCGAGGCCGAGCTGCAAGATGCAGAGGCGGGACCTGAGGTCCAGAAGATCGGCCTGCAGGAGCCCCAAAGGCAGAAGCGACTCGGCACACGTCGAAAGTGGCCTTCCTCTTTTATCTTCCCAGGTCTTTCAAGTCCCTGCCACCGGAGCCCGTGGTGGTGCAGACTGTCGCGCCCGCCACCTGGGGCTCCGATCGAGGCATCCAGGGCGGAGCCTCGGGTCGCATTATCTCCGGGCAGAACGTGGACCCTGCAGTTTCATGAGCCCCTCGCTGCACATGGCCATCCGGGGTCGACAAGGACAGCAGATCGTGGCCATCAACGGACTTGATGTCGCCACCATGACGCAGCAGGAGACCACTGCCACCGTCTGGTAGAAAGCATGTAAGGGAGAGATCGGAGCCCTGGGCTTTGCAGGAGTTCCGGGCAGCCCTCAAAGCACGGCCGCTGACTCTCAGGCCTATTGGACACGGCTCCTGCAGTTCTTGATGTTGAGCCGCTTCGCTGTGGTTCCGAGCAGGTTCCGAATCTCGGACGATCCTGAAGAGGCACGCAGCGTGAAAAGAGAGAGCCCAATCGTCGCTGCCAGCGATGTCAGGAGCCGCTACAAGCCGCGGTGGCGGGCTCGGACGTCGACAAACTTGGAATGCCGGGCACCCCAGCATTGTATTCGGAATGTTTACGAGTGCACGGTGGGCTTGCTGCCTTGCATGTTCTGGACCATGGTCATGTAAGTTGACTCATGTTGTCGGCGAAAAGGTCGAACACAAGCCAGACTTGAAATGCACCGGCCGATTCGAAGCCAGGAAGCAAAAGCGGTCCTGTGCTTTTCTCGGGCAACTACGGTGATAGGTGCTGCATTCAGGATGCAGCTGACTATTGCCAGAAGATTCCGGGGCTCCACTTCCAAGTGCTCAAAAAGAGACCTCTCGGCAGGTTTGTGCTATTACTTCTCGTTCCGCTTACTGCACGACGCTCCGCAATCTTTAGTTCACATTCCCGCAAGAGAGCCGTGTGGCCTGGGTGTGATGTCTGTGTGATTCCGGTGAAGAGTCTAGGTGCCAGGTAAGGTCCTCCGGAGCGGCTGGACCCTGATGACACGTGTTCTCTTGCCTGAAACCCAGGTCCTTCCAAAGCCTCCCTCCGGAGCCAGTGATCGTCAACAAGGTCGCTGCCGGCGGCTGGGCAGAGTCGGTCGGCTTTCTGGGAGGAGCTCCCTTAGTTTGGGAGTGGGGTTTGGGCCCTCGGGCCAGGTTTTCCTGTGCAGGAGAGGAGATCCTCGTGGTGAACGGGGAATCGACAGTCGCCATGTCCAGCGAGGAGTGCCCTGAACGGAGTTGATGCCGGTGGTTTCAGGAGACAAGAAGGAGCAAACATGTGCACCACACTGCCACTTCAAGCGGTGGGAGGATGCCGTTGCTGGGATAAAGCAGGGGAGGTGCGGAGCGTCCTAAGCCCCTCCGAGAGCCCCAGAGGCCGCACAAACCCGAACCCAGGAACCTTGCCTCCAAGCCCGCAGCACCTCAGCCGGTAGGCTGCGAATCTGGTAGACCAGCTGCCTCTTCTCAACTGCACCTGCAAAGCTTAGGATACGAAACCGGCGCGCAAAGCCTGCAAAGCCTAAGCCTTCAGGACTTCAAGGCGGCGCTTCGCGTGAGACCCCTCGTGCTAAGGCCTCGTTAGCTTTGCCTTGCTCTGGGACCGGACACTTCTACGGACTTACGGTTGGAAGGTCGATGCCTGCTGCCTGGCTTTGCTTGTGGGTTTCAAGTGCTGAGTGGGTCAGACTGACTACTCCCAAGTTTAGCTGCATTTGCAGGTTTCAGCAGCCTGCGGAAGCCGTGGCCTTAGCAAGAGCTCGGTGCAGACTTCCCTGAGGCTGTCTTGGAGCATCGTCGACTAAATATCGCGATCTGGTGCAGTTCCGTTTGGCCATTGCGCACGGTGACTTTCCAGTAAGAAGTTCATTCATGATACTCCACATGTCCCGATAGCCTGGTATTAAGAAGGTGCTGCTCTATGCCCTGATGTTGCCAGTGATGCCCGGCCCTACGCAGGAGGAGGAGGACGACCAGGATGACCTCGTCCAGGAAGTTGAGGTTGGCCCGGAGGTGTCAAAAATCGGATTGCCCGGGCCTCCTTTTTGGCTTCGATGTTTTCGGAGCTTCCCGACTTCCCTCTGCGGTGCTGCGCAGCAGAAGGTCCTTCCACAACCTGCCTCCCGAGCCCGTCGTCGTCAACAAGGTGGCTGCTGGCACCTGGGCTGAGTCCGTGGGCTTCATCGGAGGCTCTCTCGGCTGCAAGAAGTCGCCTGTCCCTGGATTCCGCGATGTTTCGGATACAGGGAGTGATGAAGAGTCCAGGTGAAGAGATCCTGGCCCTAAACGACGAGGACGTGGCCTCCATGACAAGCAGCTAAGCTGCTCATCAGCTTGCCGCAGATGATGCTTGAAACCAGCCAAGTCCACACTCTCGGCCGCGTAAAAGCTGATGCAAATGCGTGGTGCTTGAATCTGCCAGGTCGACACCCTAAGCATGCAATGCCACAATTCCTGCAATTGCCATGTCGCTTAAACAGATTTCAGACCTATGCAGTCAGGCCAAAATATAGCAACTCTGTGGTACGGATCTTGCCACATGTTCTGCGCCATGTTTTGAGCACTATGCTGTACTCCACGAACGTGCAGCCTAGGCTCGGCTGCACCATGCTGGAATTACACCGTGCAGTATGGATCAGTTCTTTTTTGGTCCTGGGTTTCCGCGGATGTGTCCAACCAGCAAAGGTGAGCGATTCAAGTCGGTGTTGAAGTCGCGGCCTTTACTCATCAGGCACCCCCCATGTTTGTGATAGTTGAGACCATTCGCAAGTCAACTGGAGCAGATTTGTCTGTCAGGTTCCAAGCATCTGCAGGGCCCTCGGTAGCTGACTATGCAGTAGCTTGCCTGCCGTGCCTGTACGCATGTGTGGTCCGGGCGTAGAAGTTCGCCCGCCTTCTTGCAATGTTTGGGGTCGGTCGACGATGGCAAGATTGCCCGAGGAGTTTGAGGAGGTCGAGGCTGGCGAGGAGGTGGTAAAGATCGGTTTGCCCTCATCTGAGTTTTCTAAAAAGCACAGCCAGGTTCACTCCGGCCTGTGCCTTCGGAAGTGAACTGAGGTCGTTCAAGGCCCTACCCCCGGAGCCTCTGGTTGTCAGCAAGGCGAGGAGCGGGCCCCAAAATAGTTGGTGGAGGGAGGTACTGGTGGAATGTTGATGTCTGTATACTCTTTACGAGGTCGCCCCTGGGAGTTGGGCGGCCACGGTGGGATTCCAAGGTGGCACCGTGCCTGAACATGCGCGATGGAGTCGGAGACCAGTATGTTCAGCAGACGGAGTCATCTCTCGAGACGGTCGGAGCTTGAGTTCTTCTGATGTCTGGGTTCAATGCTTGGCTCTCGACAGTTGAGGAGGGTTCATGGGATTTATGTTATTCCTCGCGTTTCGGGCTTCAAGACAAGGAGATCCCTCGAAGCGCTCACAAGAAAATCATCGCAACTTAAGCCAGTTCGGGTGGGTGCGGGTATGTGGTGGTGGTGTCGGCCTGGAGCCGTTGATGTTCACCATAGGAGAAGACAGTTCATCGAGCTACGACTAAATGAGACAGCGAGTGCCCGGTCCCTTCATCTGAGGAGAGGAGATTGCGGCTATCAACGGTGTAGCAGTTGCTGACATGTCGAACGAGGATGCATTGGGAAGGGGGTTCCTCGTCTTTCTCGTTGAAGCCTCTGGCGGAGTTGTAGAGTTTGCCTTGCCCGGGCCCGCTCTAACGAAGAAGCCAGGCCATAGCCAAGCATTACCCTAACCTGGAACACTAAGTATGAATGGAAGGTGTGTGGAACCCAAAACTTCGCAGCTAGCACCCAGAAGACAGCTGGGCATAGCTAGGTCGTGCAGTAATTGCCGTTGCATGCTCCTCCATGGCGTGATCACGCGTTCTACTATCATCATGTCCCTAATTAAACGCCGTGCAGATGAGCAATGCCTCTGGAATTCGCTCAGGGCCCAACGGTTGTGCATCTGCCTTGCGGTTGACTGATCCTTTTATATAGGCCCTCCTCGCGGCATCTAGTAGAATCTGGCAGATTTTACCGGACGGCATGGATGCGCACACGGCCGCTCATGTCACTTTGTTTCCCACTCTACTCGTAGGTTCTAGACTCGATGCAGCCATAGCGTCTCGGAGGTGCTTTGAAGTAGTGTAATGTAGTGCACCGCCAGCATGGGCTCCTGCCCTCAAAAGCTCGCAGCAAACGAGTGTGAGGAGAAGGATTACGACTTGCAAGATCCTCAGGATTTCTTGGATTTCCTCATCGATGCGAACATTCGCTTGGTGCGAGTGGAGTACCTTCAGCTGCTCGCCTCGCGGAGGCAGTTGTGGCCGCGTCAGCAAGAGGCCAAGAATGAGGTCTTCACTGATAAGAGGGGTCACACCCGGACGGCTTTGGTGACTCTGGAGGAGTACAAGAAACTCAAAAAGCAGGGTGTGCTGAATCTGGGTGAGCCCCGGGAGGATAACCTGGGATTCGGCATACTTTCGGTATCTCACTGTTGGGGCCAAGCAGCACCCAGATCCCTTCGGGAGCCAGGCGCGGCGTCTCGTAGACGAGCTGATGAGCCGGAAAGAGTTGATGACTCCACTAGGAAAAGCCTGGACATGGTGGGTTTTCGTGGATTATATCTGCCTGCCGCAGTACCACCGCACAAAGCAAGAGCAGCACTTTTTCAAGCGGGCAATGAGGGCAATGCACGTCCTCTACTCGCACAAGGCTGTAAGGTACGTCGTCCGTTTAGAGGAGCTCACACAGCAGATGGAGGGCGTCCCTCCGCCAGCATCCATCGACATTTATTATGAGGAGAGTACGGAACCAGGCAAGGGCAAGTTTGGGCCGCAGCCTTTCAGCAAGTTAGACTTCAACAACACGCCGTACCATTGCAGAGGGTGGTGCGTGGCGGAGTGCCAGTGGATGTCCTCCAAAACCGTTGCTGCCCGCGGCATTGCGCCAATGACGCCAGAAAGATTTCGACAGAGGGTGGAGCTGGCAAGGCAAAACATGCCGGGAGGCCTGCCACTAGTATTCACTCACCGTGCCGATGAGGAGGCTGTGTTGCATCTGCAAGAAGAAGTTTTCCTGAAACAAGCACGACGGCATCAACAGCTTGTTGTCCGCGAGTTACCTCTTCAAGAGCAGCTGTTTCTGGCCGAGGCCTTGCCACATTTCACGGAGGTGACCTTGGTAGTATTTGTCGGCTGCGTGATTGAAGAAGAGGCTGCTGTGGCCCTTGCTGCAGCACTTGCATACCTCAAGAATCTGAAGATGCTAGGCATTTTGCATTCTGTGCTCAGCGACTCAGCTGCAGAAGCCCTGGCGAGGGGTCTTAGGCAACGGAACAGCGAAAAGCTGACAGTGTTCTTTCAAACCTGGGACTATCCCCAAATTCAGTGCCAGCAAACTGAGCCCGACGAAAGAGCCAAATGGTTCGAGGCAGTCGAGGGAATTGAGGTGTCAGTCATTTGTTGGAACCATGACTTCTGACTGAGCTGAGCGACCAGATTTGAGGGTTAACAGGCTTGTTTATCGGTGCTAGGAGCCAGATTCGAAACGCTGCGCGTCTCACCAAGCGATGCACCGGATGAAGCCCTGAACACCTGTGTTACCCACGGAACGTGTCGTGGAGGAGGTTTCAAATTGTGGCTACTGCCAAGCAGTCCAGCCTCAGCAAGGCAGAAGACATGCCAAAACAACGGCAAGGGGTGAGTGATCCGCATGAGCCAGAGGGACATTGCGACATGTCTTGATGAGATGTAGAGGCGAGGGTTATGAGAGGCCCAGAGAATCCAGAGTCGAGTCGAGCACAGGCCGCCTCAGCCTTTGCATATTCATATATATATATATATATATTCATGCTTTTCAGTTGGGAGGCGGCTTTTGGGTCCTGCGTGGGAGGGGCCAACCGCTTCCCATCCCTTGCGTGAGGACTTCAAGGCCCTTTTGAGGGCTCGGCCCCTGACCTTGAGGACGGGGGGAAGTTTGGGATCATGTTTCTGCCAATTCCATGCTTCAAAGTTAAGTACAACTCGAGCTCCACAGGCTCAAAACTGCTTGTCCAAGAGCAGGAGAAACCTTCACAAGAGCCGGTCTGCTCTCTACAAGACGGATCATCAGCCCTAAACCCTAAACCCTAAACCCTAAACCCTATAAACCCTAAACCCTAAACCAGCACCTAAAGCCGGGAAGAGTTGACAGCGGTTGCCGCCCGCTGCAGGATTGTGAGCTCGACGGCCGAGTGCTCGAAATCGGGGTTCTGGGCGCAGACTTCCTTGCAGTATAATATACTCTAACATGCTATAATATACTATATAATATACTATATAGTATACTATATAATATACTATATAATATGCTACATAATATACTATATGATATACTAGATGAACTGAGAAACCCGTCGAAGCTCTTCGAATCTCCGGCAGCGCCCTCCGAGACTCCGAGAGTGCGCAAGGTCGCTGTGGCCGACCCCCCTGCTGGGCAAACCGACAAGGTGGAGCCCAATAGGGACGGTTTAGGGTTTAGGGTTTAGGGAGTAATCCACTAGTGTTGAGAGTCTTTTTTTTGGAAGCCGGCCTTGAGAGCCTTGGGAGATCCGGCTGTGTTGCTGTCTTCAGAAATTAAGCGAAGCGGCTCTGAGGGCATCCGAGGGCTTCTGGGACTTGAAGTCGAACGTGTAAAATGCCGTAGTGCTGGTAGTACAAGTGAAAGTAGAAGTGATTATGGTAGCATTTGTGGAGGTAGTAGGGGTGGTGGTGGTGGCAGTAGCAGCAGCAGCGATTGATAACATAGTGTGCCGCAAAGAAGGGGCAGATGCTCAGTGCTGGCAGGATGCTAGAGACGAGCAGCAAGCGCAGGCGGCCACCAAGATCCAGGTAGCGCTCGTTCGAGGAACAGTGAAGGGATGCTGGGCCCAACCTCGTCGTGCCAGGCGATCCACCGTGGCAACCTTGCTCGAAAGGCACAATCTCCTTATCCAACTGGGGAGGGGGGTTGCTGCCGCTTGTCGATTGCAACGTGCCGAAGCGAGATGAATGCTACGTGCATGCGTGGCCGAGAAAAGTCCAAAGCTCCAGCGTCGTCACACTGTGCTAGTACCATAAGGTGCTTGTGCTCCTTTGTTGAGGGTGCAGGCGCTGTGAGGCTTTGACCAAGTCGTGCTCGGAACTGGGCCCGTGGGCCCTTGGGTTTTGGCACCGGCATGCTCCGGCGTTTTCATGCGACAGCGTACGATATGTCTTGTCGTCGCCTGTGTTGTTCTCACTGCAGTTCCCTGTAAATCTCCGTAGTCATTTGAAACTGGGCTCGTTTCGGCGGGTTACTGGCTTGTTCTTGCAGTCATACCCGAGTGCGGCAGACACTGTACTTCGTGACATGCGAGATCCCATTTTCAGGTACATGGTCATATGGTGCATCATCAGTATCATATTGGACCACAGACTGGTCGCCAAGCTTTCGATTAGCTTCCCTGAATCGTCACTCCAAGCCGAAAATCCTAAAAAACAATACCGAAACCCCGAAACTCTATTCAGTTTTATAAACGAGACAGTTGTTTTGGAGTCTGGACATGGGCGTCGGACACCTTGCTCAAGCTCTGTGTTGCACTCGCCAGGAGGGCCAAGCCAAGCGGAAGAAGAAAGCCGCCAAGGCGCTTTGCTCTCTTTACACTTCCTTGGGACTGAAGCGGAAGCGGGGGCTTCGACGTCGGCAAGAACTGTTCCAGGAAGCAAAGGAAGGAGAGGCAGCCACTAAGATCCAGGCGCGTTCTGGCTGGCTGCGCTTTGGACACACCGCGCCACAAGACCTGCACGTGAAAAGAGAGGCTATCCATCGCGGCAATCTCGCCCGGAAGGCAGGAAACGGCTTCCGAGACGGGCTCCGAGAGCTTCTGAGAGTCGGAACGTCAAAGCTGGGTTTGGAAGTGCGATGCTAATGCAGAACACTCTTTGCGAGCATGCGTGAACATTCCTGGTCACTTTCTATGGGCAGGATTCGGAAGCCCATGATGCTGCCATGCTGCAGATTGCATTAAATCATGATCAGGTTCTCTGGGTTAAAAGGGTCCGCTTTCGCATCCAGAAGTGAGACCTAAAATCAGCATTCGTGTGTTGCCGCCGCGAAACTGTCGCACTGCGATCAGCAGGGGTGACATGTACAATAGTTTGGGTTGACCGCTTCGTTTGACGCCTTCGGATGTGTTGTTTGTCGATCCTTTGCCCATGGAGCTTGCATGACAGGAAGCGCACAGCCAAAGAGAGGAGGAGAAGGAGGAGACAGCTCTCAAGATTAAGGCTCCTTTTGAATCCCCTGCATCTCCTTCGCCTAAATCCGCAGTGTCAAAACGCCAAGCCATGTGCTTGACAGCCACTCATCATTATCATCATCATTGCGACGTGCAGCAGCAGCACAACTGCGCCAAATCGAGATCAGCAGGACGGCCGCAAGCAGCCCGAGAAAGCGGCGAAGGCCCCGTGCCGAGTTGCTTGGTTTCAGGCTGTTTTATGAAGGACATTGCCGGCATGAGCTGGGAGAGAAGTTTCAACAAGCTTCAGCACTTGCGTTGTTCGGGTGGGAATTTGGCTGTGTGAACAGCTTTGTGAAAGACCCCGGCATTGTGCCAGGAAGCTCAGAGCAAACATGAGGAGGAGGCGGCCACGAAGATTCAGGCTGCAGTTGCCTTGGTCCTTCGAAGTGAAGCTGCCCATGCCGATCCGTGCAAACAGGCAATCCATAGGGGCAATCTCGCCCGAAAGGCCACTCCGACTGAATAAGGGGTTCGGGGCTGATTCGGATGTTTGGATGAGAACCGTGTAAACTTCCACTGACGCCCTGTGAAGACCTTTGATTTGCTTCCGTCCTTAATTTCTGACATCAATATGTCGCTTCAACCCCAACCTCGGAACTCGTGTCTCAGTTGGTGCGGCAGGGATCTCTTCAGACACCCAAGATGCAAGCGCACGGGAGAGTTAGCAGCAGGACGGCCGCAGCAAGCAGCAGGAGAAAGCGAAGGCCCCGTGCTGAGCAACGGATGTCGAGGGCTTAATTGTTGCTGGGTTTCAAGTTGTTTTATGCTTGGGGTTTCCCGCATGAACAGGAAGAGAGCTT